ACCACTGTGGTAGTATATATGATATGTGTGAGAGGCAACCAGGCAAAGATGGGGCTATGAAAACATACACATGTCAGAAAGGATGAGAAGGCAAAGCAAAGAAAATGGTGACTACTACGTTAGCAGTGATTATAGCATTTAAATTTAATGTGATAACTTTCCCTGATTTTAACTCGGAAAAGCAGATTAACATACACAGATGTTTTATTCAAATCCTTCAAAGCCTAATTCTTAGCACTCCTTTGAGGGGAAGAGCCAAAGAGCTGCCACCGCTGTCATTTTCCCTCCCAGCCATTCGAAAAGGTCAGGAGTGGCATTACATTGGAGAGAATAGAGAGGGTTGGTTCTTCTTGTAGGTGCTTTTAAGATGGGCTAAGCTCAGAGGAGGGGGTAGTTTCTTATTTTTGTTAAGAGTTGAAGTATAGTACTTACATTGACCCTTGGATAAGTTGACCTTGGTCAATTCTTTTTTACTAAAATTTCTAGACTTATACATGAGTATATACAGTAAACTCTGGAGACAAATTGACCATAGAATTTCCTTTCCAAACCCCCATGTCATCATCATTTAAATTCCAGTCAAATCTCTTCTGCTGCATTGCCAGACAGAAAGCAAAATTTTGTCAGAGGAAGCTGTCAGCTCTCACATCAGTGAGGATCTCTTGTGGTTTTGAGTCCACAATAGCATTATCCAAGGTGGTGGACCCTATCTCCCAAATTTTGGATAACTGGTTTGGACTAACACCTAGGACAATTTAACATGTGGAAACCACCACACCATCATTTCATGTACATTGGGGCTTCATTGGTGTAGAACACCTTCAGGTTGTCTTATGGAAACTTAAATACGGTGATGGAGATCATACATCACACTCTACATTTTGTAACTTTATGAATTAGTAACTGTGTTGCAGAAATGCGATGGAACCCTGTTAATGAGTTGCAAAGTTTTGCATCTGGCGATCCATCTAATTACAGGGGATCTGTTTCAGACCCTTCCGCGGATAAGGAAAAATGTGGGACCTTGCATCCCATTGATTCAGTGGCAGGGATGTGTGCGGCTGCTAATGTGGCTGGGTGCATGTTCCCCCACTGAAAGCAGCAGGGCTTGCCCGCTGTGGATGCTTAAATCCGCGGATGGAGAGCCCATGGATATCAAGAGCCCACTGTAGTATATTAGTATATTATTTTAGTATTTTAGTGTTTTAGCATTTTGTGGTGTTGTGTTTTATCGTTTGTTTTTGATTATATATCTTTGATGTTCCACCCTCGGAAAGGGCGTTGGAGGAAAGGGCTTTTTATATATATATATATATAAGTGTTGATATTGTTGTTGCTGTTGTTGTTATCATTATTATTCATTGGCAAGAGTGTTCCAATGTACTTTGGGCCGTTCTGACGGTCATTAGGCAATTCTGATATGCATTGGGCACTTCTGTTGTGCTCCAACACTTCCTAACTTATGTCTGGATGTGTTTCAGGGAGCTCCTTGATGTGAATAATTGCCCATTGGGTCATGCCACATCAATCACTCCATTATTGCACAATGGATGCCTGTATGGTTTAATATTAAGGCAGCCTTTACTTTAATATAGACATTGCAAAAGTACTTAATTGAGTTTTGTGCACACACAAAGCCTTTTATGAAGATGTAAGTCTTGAGCCGAATGCTAGTCTTAGTTGTTAGTGTTGTGCTTCATAAGGTCCAAACAAGACTGGATGTTCTAATTTCTCAAATCATATGTTCCTCTTTCACAGAATGTATTGGCAGATTCACTTTTAGCATAAGCAGCGGAAGAAAGTGTCATCTTTTGGTGTTCATATTCTCCTCTATCCTTCCTTGCCAAGAGAAAAGAATGAAATGGAATTCCAGTGGGCACCACTGTGGGTTTTT